TCAAGTGGGCTGTTGCCATCGGGAGCCTTGCCTGCATCCACTGGTAGTCCTCCACCCTCTTTCTGTTAAATTAAGAGTTGTCGGGATTTGTTCTTTGGATTTTCTCTCACTTCATTCGTTTGTTGGTTTCTCTTTAAGACTGAGCAGACCCGCTACCTTGCCTCATCCCCTTGTTGGGTTTTCCCTTGCACCCCAGGTCCAGACAACAGGCCTTGCGTTTCTTGCTTTCTGTGTATCTGATGGACTCTGTTACCCACTCCCGCAGCAGCTGGGAGCTGAGCCTTTCCAACCCTTGGGAGCTCACTCTTGCCTGCTTCTGACTGCAGTCAGATGGGAAGCTGGAGGGAGCCAGAGCCACCAGGCCACCCCCAGCGCCTGCTCTTGCCTTGGTTGGCTTACCGCTTCACCATTTCCTTCCAGCATTAGTGAGCTCTGAAAGCAAGACCTGTCGGACACCCTCGCTGTGTTTCCTCATTGCAACCAGCCCAGATATTAATAAAATTTGGTTCTTGATGTATATGAATGTTTGAAAGGACTGTTTCTGCAGAACTTGACACCTTCATATAATAGAGGAAGGAGTAGTCTGGGGCCACATGCAGTGATGCTTTGGAATTACTCCCAGTTCTGCCGGGTGCCATTCCCCGTGTTTGGAAGACCAGGCCGTGCCAGGGATGAACCCATTGTTACACTCGAAGCCAGTACCTTTACCCTGCTCCTCTGTCTCCAGCCCTTCATTCCTTTTTCCCCCATGATTGGGACATACCAGACAGTGCTCAGGGGATATTCCTGGCTCTGTGCTCAGAGATCTCTCCTAGCAGTGCTCAGGCTACCATATTTGGTACCAGGGATCCAGCTGTGTTGCCACATGTAAGGCAAGTACCTGGACTATCTCTCTGTCCACAGTATCTCTCCGAAAAATAAAACTTAACTTTTTAAAAATATGGAATTGTTCTACAACTGAAAGCTATCTCAGTTATAAATTATGGGGGTGAGGGGGCCGTGATACACTTTCATTGTTGAGTCCAATCTGTGTTTCATTGTGTTTGAATACTGCTGGTCTTCCTGAAACCCTGTGGCTTTATCTTAGCAGCCTCAGCTTTCCCATACCCTCACACAGTGACTCACTAGCAGAGCCATCCCACTGTCTAGAATGAAGCCCTTTTCTCTGAAACACTGCCGTGACCTCAGACAGGTGGTAACTTTCTGGTACTCGCAGATAGATGAGGGACTGAAGGGCCCTGAGCCCCTAGAGATTTTCTTTTTCTTTTTTCTTTTGTTTTGTGAATGAGTAAATTCTTTTTTCTTTTTAATATTTTAAAAATTTCATTAAGGAACTGTGATTTACAATGTTACTGATAGTTGGGGCTGGAGTGATAGCACAGCGGTAGGGCGTTTGCCTTGCACGCAGCCAACATGGCCGACCCGAGTTCGATTTCTCCGCCCCTCTCAGAGAGCCTTGCAAGCTACTGAGAGGATCTTGGCCGCCTGGCAAAGCCTGCAGGCACATTGCAACATTCCAGTAGTTGCATCTTAGGTCCCATGTTTTCAGTGTTGTTGAGGCTGTGTTTTGGATATATGGCTATACCCCTCACCCAGATTGCTGGTATAATCATTGCTGCTGCCTGTTCACCCAATTACTTCTCATTCTCTTCTTTCCCCCATAATTCCTTTCCTTCTCTGTCCTTCTCCTCTCTGAACACTGGGGTCCCAAGTGGTCTAGACACCTCCCCTCCCCCGTTTGCTACATTACATTTCCTCATCCAGGTCTCTTATATTGCAGGTAAGTGAGACCACCCTATGTTTGTCTGTCTCCTGGCTCGCTCAGCATGGTATCTGCCAGTTCCAGCTGCGTTGCAGCAAATTTGAGGTTTTCATTTTTAGAAGAAGTGTTTGGATCCCAGTAGTGCGGTCAGGGCAGTGATCTAACAAGTCCAGCAGAGCCCGGTTGGGTTGTGTGGAGAGAGCAGAGAGAGTCCCAGGGATGGTCCAGCTGTCTTGCTTGGGATTCTCACCTTGTTGATGCTATTCCCACCTTTCATGAGATAAACCCTCCACTGCTTCCTTGAAAATCCTGAGCTCTTGTATTCTTCAGGAAGAGAAGGAATTGGGGGTGAAGGTCCTAGAGAAAAGGAACCGTCACTGGTAGGTGGGTCTTCCTTTGGCCCAGAAGCCTTGTGTGACCATTCTTGAAGCTTTGTGTCTGTATGCCGCAGACCTTCTGGGTATCATACCTGTGTCTTGTTTACCAGGAATCCGTGTGCATTTCATTCTTCCAGCATTTTCTCAGTAACAGTCACATGCCGGGCACACGTTGGTGTCAGTGCCATGCCTTGGCTTTCTCCACGAGCCTAGGGAGGCATTCTCCAGAGTGGCGTGTCTTAGGCTGTGGGTGGGCGTGCAGCATTTGGCTAGAACAGTTTCATTTGAGAGGAATGTTTTGTAAGATTCAAGTCACATTGCCTTTACACTAAGCTTTTCTATCTCCTTATATATCCCCATGTTGTAGAATTGTGGATCCTCACCTCACCCCCTGCCTGCCTTGGTATATTTACAGTGCTTCCTAACAGCTAGAAAGGAAGAACTTTGGCTAAATTTTTAAAAGGAAAAACAATCATATTCTATTTGAGAATTGTGGGAAATTTTCCTATTACCCTTTAATTTATTTATGTGCCAGTGTTTTGTCCAGATTCCTGAATATGCATGCCTTAGAGTGCCCCAACATTAAGTCCATTGTGGGCATTTGAACTTGGAAGAGTGAGCAGTCACTGGATTACCATCTTTATTGAAATAGCCTAGTGACTTTTCTATTAAAGAAAATTACAGGAATCTTCCTAGAGATTTTTTGGAAATCTTAACTATTTATAGAGAGAACCCTTAATTTCACTTCTTGAAATTAATTTGTCAAAATGCTCATGACAGACACAAGTTTTTATGATGCCATTTCTCCTGAGGTTTGCCAGATAGACCCGCTCTGTGCCTTCTCAGGGAGAGAGCTGGTTGTAGTTTGTGGCCTTTAGGTGATTGGGTGGGGTGAGTAGGAGACACCTGAGCTGTGAGGAGTCAACAGTCCTCTCTGGACTAGAACATTCCCAGTTTCCTAAGAGGCTGGGGCTGGAGAGAGTCAGAGGTTAAGGCCTTCACAGGCTCTCCCGGGTTCCAGCCCAGCCAGGAGGAAGCCCTGGTCTTAGGGTTTCATGTGTTCTCGTCAATAGATTTCCCTCTTGCCTCGCTGTCACTGTGTATTATCCTTTTTCCTAATATTTACTATTTCTGAGAATGTGCACTAGATCAAGTTCTGTTCATTCCATGAAAGATGCATCCTGTTTTCATTCAGCGTTTTCTGCCATGTACAAGGCGCTTCTCCACCAAGAGTATGTGATTGTACGGGGCCACAGGGAGCACTTGCCAGTGACCAGAGAAGTGCCCTCCTGCTTTGACGCCACACGCTCAGGGACCCATCTGTGTCCCCACTCCCAAGATCCTGGCCAAGCACCTCTCCAGGCCAGGCCTCGCCCTCAGTCCTGCCGATTGGGACTCTGCTGATACTTACATTCGGGTTGCTCCCAGGCATAGCCAACCTGAGCCTGTTCCAAGCTGACTGGGATAATCCCCCATAAGCCACATATCCTGTCATCTTCATTTTCATCCTCGGAGGCTCTGTGGTACTGAGTCTTCAGCCAGAGAGCGGACCTGCCTCTTTAACTGCCCTGCTTTCTCTGCATGCAAATCTAACCACTTCTCACCACCTCGCCGTTCCAGTCCCCAGCATGGCTCCCAGCATCCCTCCCCTCCACCACAGTGCCAGTCTCCTCCCAGACTCACCCTGCTTCTGTCCTTCCACCCCGTCTCTGAGTTTTCCACACCATGGCTGGAGTGAACCTGTCAAGTGTGAATCACATCAAGTTACTCCTCTGCGCCAAGCCCTGTAGCTTTAGTCGCTCCACATCTCGCTTGGAGTCAGCATCTTAAACAAACTCGCAAATGCCTGAGCCAGCAGCTGGCTAACGCTAGCAGCATTGCTCCAGCCCTTCTTAGCTTCACTCTGCTCTTTCACACCGGGTCCATACATATGCCGAGTATCCCACCCACCCTTGCTGTTCCCTCATTCACTTCTCCTTGGGTGCAGTGCATTTCCTCCCCAGGATAGTCACAGAGTGCCTTCGTTTCCCACAGACCTTACTTCCAGAGCACCACCAGACAGTGCACTCTTTCTCAAAGAGCAACGTCTTCCTGCTCATCCACAGTGATACACACTCCTTCCCCTTATTACTCACTAGTGCCTGATGCGATTCAACATCTGTGCATTTTGCCTAATCGTCTTGTCGCTTGTGTGTTTTCCCTTCAGGATTAATGTCAGTTCACAGAAACGCAGGCTTTTGTCTATATTGTTGACTGCTGTCTCTTCAGGGTTTCTTACCATGCCTGACACGAGGGTGAATTGTTTAGAGAATAAACCACTGAATCATAGAGCTAGGTTGCAGGTGTTACATCTTGCCAGTAGGTGCCACAGGTGCTGTGTGTGTGTGTGTGTGTGTGCAGAGTGAAATAGTTCAGTGATCGTGTGTACAGAGTGGAATAGTTCAGTGTTTCCAGTTCTATAATTTGAAATATTCCTGAAGGCGCATGTGTAAATGGCAGATGCATCTCACCTTAAGCATCTGCATCTCACCTCATGCATCTGCAGTCAGACCTTTAGGTTGGTACAATATGGAATAAAGTTTGGCCCCATCTCCTGAGATGATACCCACAACTCTCAGACTTGCACGCCCTGAATCTCGCTCATGTGAGAATCTGCAGGAATTCATATCATCTCATTCTCTGTAACCACGGGGTTGTGCTGATCTTGTCTGTTTCTTTCTTCCCTGCCCGCCATACTCCCTGCTTCTTCTCTTTTGAAGACATGATTTGAAGGCTGGAGAGTTCATATTCTAATTCAATTTATTAATGCTTCATACTAGTATGATAGTCTTTATTTCAACAACTCTTTAAATTTTATTCAGGACAGCACAACTATTTATGCGCTGGAAGAAATGACTGCATCATTGATAAAATTCGACGGAAGAATTGTCCTGCCTGTAGACTTCAGAAATGCCTTCAAGCTGGGATGAATTTAGGAGGTAAGTTTTTCAGTTTAGTGTAATAAAAATTATTAATAGTTACTATAGCACTGTTAGACTCAGTGACACCCAAAATTTAACATGGAGGTATAATGGAGCAAAGATAGCTAAGTTTTTTTAAAAAAAAGTTCTATTTTTCATGTAAAATATTTTAGCAGAAAAGCATTTCTCTACAGAAGTTAAAAAGAATTAAAGAATTATGGCTTGTGGTTATTTTGTGAAGTTTTCAACCCTGAGTTTGCTAAGCTTTTGCGAACTGGGCGCAGAACCAAAAGCAAAACAAAAATGAATGACTTTTTATAGAAAACTGTAGCTATGTTTTTTTTTTGCCATGTGTATTTAGAAGCAAGATCTGTATATGATAACATCAAACATGTAGGAATATATTCTCACTGTAGGACTAGCTGTAATAAAGAAAGACTTGTGTGGGGGAAAAAAAACTTTTAAATGTTATAGAAGTTTCACCAAAGGAGTAGAGAGATAAAGCTAAGAGTGTACATCGGAATCCAGCAGCTTTGGGCAGGAATGTGAATGGAGTATGCATTAAGTTATGGCGCTGTGTCTCCCCCCCACCCCACCGCCGGGAGGGAAAGGGTGTCTGTCTCTTCCACCTTTCCCCCACCACCCTCCTTGCAGCATGGCGGCCGCCACCTCAGAGCTTATTGGACAGCCAGGTATGAGCCGGAGGTGACAGGGCAACTGCAGCCTCATGGGATGGGGGGTGGAAACCACACGTCCTTCTTGCCCAGTCGAAACCACAAGTTGCACCCCACAAGCAGCCCTCCGGCACAGCCATGGCCCCAGAGGCACACAAACCAATCTCGGAACTGTGCAGCTTTTGGCAGAAATCCCTCCAGACTTAATTAGTAAAATATCAGAAATCCAAAATCATGTGGCCGCAATAGCAGCTGCACGACATCATATGGTCTTCATAACCAGCAATAAAAAACAAATTATTTCACAATGCCTTTTCAGCAGGTTTTATTTTGGGGGAAAATTCCAAATATTAATGGGGCATCTTTTTTCAAAATAATGAATGTAATCAAAGTAGAGAGTTAAGTGGAAATCATCTTCCTCCCTCAGGCATGGGGAGGGGTGGAATGAGGGGTATATTGGGGTTCTTGGTCGTGGAAAATGTGCACTAGTGAAGGGATGGGTGTTTGATCATTGTATGACTGAGACTTAAACCTAAAAGCTTTGTTACTATTCTCACGGTGATTCAATAAATAATTTTTTAAAAAAAGACAAGAGTGTACAACAGTCCATAGATGGGAAGAGTCAACATCTTTCTAGGTATCAGTTTTCACCAAACTAATTGGTAACTATAAACAGTCCTAATAGAAATTCCAATTACTGATTCTAAGTTTCCAAAGAACAACCAGAAAAATCTTGGAAAAGGTAAATAAGAGCCTGGACTAACTCTATCAGGTTAAACCTTTAATATAGCTAAAGAGATTTTTTGTTTTCTTATGTATTTGCAGTTGTGAATAGAAGAGATATGTATAGGTAGCTTTCCTATCAACAGAAAGTCAAGAAATAAATTCAAGTAATATAAGAATTTTATATAATGAAATTTGGCATTTAAAATCAGTGAAAGAAAGAAGAGATTATTCAACAGAAATTATTCTGACAACTGGAAAACCATCTGAAAAACAAGAAAGTTGAATCCAGACTGTTAGCATATAACAAAACTAATTCTGATCTTTCAAAGATTTTAATTTGGAAATACAGTCACAGAAGTACTGAGATAAAACAAGGATTTTTTTAAATATTCTCCAAGCAGAGAAGACCTTTCTAAATATAAAATCCAGAAGCTCTGAAAGAATTTTAACTCTAAGCTATTATAAATTAAATATTATCGTAAAGGCAAAAACTAAGAAACTGGGGAGAAATACTTGCAATTTATAGGAAAAGGGTTTATTTCTCACCTTGATAGAGAGCTCCTATAATCCCACAAGAAATTAAAGCCAACTCATTACAAAAAGGGGAATAAACAGAGCAAGAGTATGGACAGAACACCCATAGATTTAATCCAATTTGTTCTTGGTACACAGGATTCTCAATATAATCATAGCAAGAAAAATTAAAATTAAAATGAAATACCTTTTTTGCGGATAGCAAAGATAAAGCGTTTTTATGACATGTTGTTTGATGAATATAGGAATAAAGTAAAACTCAGTGGTGATCTCATGAATTTTAGGTGGAAGTATGAGTTGATACAACCCCTATGGAGAGCAATTTAGCTATTTCAATAAAATGGTAAAAGCACACATCCTCTGACTCAACAGTTCCACTTTTAGGAATTTGTCCTAAGTACACTTATGAAGCATAAGAAATGAAATACAGCTAGGATCTTCATTTCAGTATTGTTAAAAATTGGAACTACTCATCTGTTTGGGATTGATTAAATACATCGCAGGCATTATAAAATAATGGAGTCACTCTATGGGCGGATTTCCAAAATATTATTTATTGCAAAAATCCAAGTTTCGAAACAGAATGTTTCATATATTGCAAATTGTAGTCCTGTTTGCTGAAAAAGAATATGTGCTGTATAGAACACTTCTGGTATGAAAGACACAAAACCCTTAATGCTGGTTATTTCACTTGATGGACCCGCACAGCTTGGAGACAAGGTAACAGAGAGAACTAATCATCATCATATATTTGTGTGTGTCTTCAAACTTAGTATTGTATTTAATGCAAGTACAGGCACTGTGTGTAGTATACATATTTAATGCATGTGTAGGTGAGCATTTTTTGTTGAAGAAAAATAATTTGACAAGTAAGTGGGACTTCTTTAGAGAGTTATTACAGGGGTAAGGTCCTGGCCTTGCATATATCCGACCTCAGTTTGAGCCCAGGCACCATATATGGTCCCCTGAGCACCACCAGGAGTGATGTCTGAGCACTGGCAGATGTGACCCAACACCTCGATCAAAAAAAAGTGACTTTTCCACTTTGATGAAGGAATTAACCGTAACCGGTTAGTAGGAAGTGGAGAGCAGATGGGGCTAACATGCAGAGAAGAACGGGGTTTCGAAATCCAAAGGAAGAGGAAATGGGACTGTCTAAGGCTGCTCGTGGGAGGGAAGGCTGGTGCTGCAGTGACGGCACTCAGGAGCTGAAATGCCTCCGCAGGATGCTTGTACCACCCCTTCCCCACCCGGAACCCTCAGCAAGTCACCATTTTTCTGTGCTTGTTCCTTCATCATCATTCCACATGAACCAGCAACAGTCCCTCCTAGGCTGAGCCACGGATTGAGTGAGTCAAGCAGAGCAAAGACGTGGCGGCCAGGATGTCATGGTGGTGGGTGGTGATGCCCACACGATGTCTGTAGCACTTTTACCCGTAGGCTCAAACCAGGCCTTATTTTGCCACGTTCGGATGATGGTGAAGTTCAAGTTCCCTCTGGCTGGTCGAAGACGTGGCCACCAGGGAGGTGATGGCACTAGGTCTTGGCTCTCTGAGCCCATGGTCTTGCTCTTTAATGGCAAGCAACCTCTTTTCTAATATCTGTGTAGTCAGAGATGCAGTGCAAATAAGCAACTGCTTTCTGGAGCAATCCCCAGTCTCGTGGCACTAAGTATCATCACCGACTGTTCAATGACCTCTAAGTCAGTTTTTTAGAACTTGTCATCTGCAGGGTTGGATAGATAGGACAGCAGGGATGCTGTTTGTCTTGCATGTGGTCAACTAGGGTTTAATCCCCAGCACCTCAAGTTCCTCTAGGAGTGAACCCTGAGCACAGAGCCAGGAGCAAGCCCTGAGAAAAAACAAGTGTGGGCCCAAAACAGGAAAAAAAAACTGAAAAAAAAAGGACATCTCCAAGTAAACACCTGTACACACTGCCTGAAAGTTTTAATTATCTGTATAAAGTTTATGTATAAAAGCATAAATTATGTGCTGAGCAATATACAGTAGTGTATAATTGTACTGTACTTTTTATATCATTGTACTCCTCGAGATATACTTACTATTGATTAATTTAAAAGGATAACAAAGCAGCTCTACCAAGAATTCTACCACCTAGGATTATCAAGGATTAACTGGGTCCATACATAACCTTTAGGACAAGGCTTCTCAACCTCTGCACGGTTGATGTTTGGGACCAGACTGGTGCCGAGCATAGTTCTGTGTCCTCCCCAGGTCTCTACCTAGTCAGGCCAAAGTTACAATAATGGAACATCCTTCCCTGGGTAGCACAGAAAGGCTCCGGCTTAGCCATCACAGAAATTAATTCTAAGCACTGTGTAATTGTGATTCTTTTATCTCAAATAACACATTACATCAGGGGAGAAGTTTGCGTGTGTTTTATTCATAGTTTGATCCCCAGTCACAAAAGTAGCTCACCCTTCCTTCCTTCCTTCCTTCCTTCCTTCCTTCCTTCCTTCCTTCCTTCCTTCCTTCCTTTCCCTTCTTTCCTTTCCTTCCTTTCTTCCTTTCTTTTGCTTTCTTTCCTTTTTTCCTTCTTTCCATTTTTCTTTCTTTTGTTCTTTTTCTTCCTCATTCTCTCTTTTTTTGGGAAACACATCAAGGGTGGTCAGGGTTTACTCCTGGTTCTGTGCTCAGAAATCACTCATGACAGGACTCAAACTGTACGTGGTGGTCCCATGGTTTCAACTTGAACCAGACATATGTAAGGCAAGAGCCGTACCCATTATATTGTCTTTCTGACCCTAAAAGTGGTCTGTTTGGGTTTGATTTGAGCCCACATCTATCTGTGCTCAGGTCTTACTCCTGGCTCTGTGCTCAGGAATCACTCCTGGTGGGACTCAGGAGACATTATGTGGTGCTGGGGACCGAGCCAGGGTCAGCCAATTGCAAGGCAAGTGCTATAACCCTTGTACTCAGACTCAGGTACCTCCAGTGCCAATATTCTGGAGTGAGTTATACAACTGGCATTTTCGAAGGGTGTATGGTTCAAACACTCTGTTTTAAGCCCCTCTGTGTGACCCCTCCCTTTGAAGCCCCACTCATCACATTTGGTGATCCGTAC